AATTTACATACCGTCATGGATCAGTCAGCAGCAGCATCTGATCAATATGTGATCTATGATGTGATGTAAATGTAACATTTTCTACATATAGGTCAAATTACATTGCTCTCAAATTACTCTGTTACATCCAGAAGGGAAACTTCACCAAAGTGAAACATAAATCTGTGGATCTGTGTTTGATTACTCTGCCTGGCTTTCTCAAGGACCAGGATGTGACACAAAAATCTGAATTATGGAACTGAAAGTGAAAGTAGTCAAACTGAATTTTTAATAAACCAAAATACAGTTTCAAAGCAAATTAATTCAAATACAAAACTTTAAGTTTTAATTTAGTGAAATTTATTTTCAAACCAATGCATTCAATTTCTAATTCTGCACATTCAGATTCAATCTGAGCAATTCAAATTCACTTCCTGCTGGCACAAGATTGATCCCATACTGAAACAGCTGCCATGACAGTAAAAAATACTTTAATGATTTTCAAAATAATCTCTTCATTGTCAAACTTATTGCACCATTTTCCTGACAGAAAACAAAAATTGTAAATGTCTGATAGAAGTAAATTAAAATGTCCCTTGATGTAGAACCGTAAAAAAACTAACTAGAAATGCTCTCCGTCCATCCGTCTGTCACTCACAGGGGACATGACGGGTTGGCGTCGAGTTCTGTCTTGCTCAACTTCAGGATTACTCTGACTGAAAAAAAGCAGCAGCAGCTAAATCCTGATGGCTTTTTTGTGTAGTTTTTGTTTTTCTAATGCATAAAGCAGCAGATTAAAGAGAGTAGAAGTACAACACAAAATCCACAAACATCAGATGAACAGAAATTACTCTAACTACTCACCAACATGGCCTGAGCTCCGAGCCTGACAGCAAGTCTCCTGGGCAGACCCATCTTCACTCCTCCATCTGCAAGAGCATCCAGGGCTGTGAAGGCCTGCTCACAGACAGAAAGGCACGTCCCCAATCAGCTTAAAGCAGGACGGGATGAGATTTGCAAATGCACACATCGAAATACAAGTTATTACCACAGCTGGGCTCCCTCGTGTTTTCTAGCACACTTTAATTAAAAAAAAAAAAGCTCAGTTTATTTTCTTCTCCTTTCCAATTTCTAAACTACCTTCAGGCTAAAATCAAGATGTGCAATACTTTGACCATTTTTTCTGTATTTTTTTCCTCTCACACAAATAATAATAGACTGAGTTATAACTTCTTTAATCTTGTTTTCCTTTAAAACTTCCCTCTGTTCAGTTTTTGTTCCTTTGTCTGTTTTCAGCAGAAAAAACCTTGGATATTTTTTGTAAAATAGGAGCTTTTCTTGTGGACAGCAGCTTTTCAGTGATGTAAAAAGTGACACTGTTGTTCCTGCAGCTTTCAGCACATCTGACTAGGGCTGTGTATTGGCAATAATTTGGCGATACGATACATATCATGACAGAGGGGTCACGATACGATATATCCCGATATATTGCGATACTGTAAGCAAGGCAATATATTGCGATATATTGTGATTTTTTGTCCAAAAATTCTATTAAATAAAAACCGTTTACTGAAAAAAAAAGAAAAGCTAATGTTTACTTACAATGCTAATGCTACCCTGACTCTCTGGCGCTCAAGAGGTAGAGGAGCCAAATGGCTGGCTCACTGCTGCCAACTAGTGGTCAGAGGCTGAACTACAACATAAAAATGAATGGCTGGCAGGAAAGTTGACATTTTAAACCTTAATAAAAAATCGATACAGGGCTTTAGAATACCGATACAGTATCGGGAAATGAAATATCGCGATATTTCAGTGTATCGATATTTTCTTACACCCTTACATCTGACCTTTGTCTAAATCTGGATTTAGACTCGGCAAAAATAAATCAAAATCAATCTTCTCTTTAATGTAGCAGGGAGGCGTTCTTTTCTACAAGGACATTTTGTACTCAAAAAGAAAAACTCCACGGTCATTCTCCTGGAAGCCACGCCCCTCACACTGAGCCATGGGAGGCCAACAAACAGCGGCGGCATGGTGTGGAAATCCATTTTATTCCTGTTGTTACAAATGCTATGGCAATCACAAAAATGGAAGTTTCAATTGATAGGAGGAGAATGTTGGCTATCATTTCAACGTCGAGTCCCTCTGTCTGTTTAGTAGTGCCCCTCACACAGCCTGCCGGCCTCTGTCCAGGAGAGATTAGCGGTCACACTGCAAATACTGGATCCCAGAGGCTAATGTTAGCTCCGAGCAGCTGGGAGTACTCCGAGAACGACCACAGCCACACTGGTTCTTGAGCAGATCGCAGAACAGTGTGCACGCATCAGCCCTGCCTCACTTCACATTTCTGAATAATCTCACAGTAGCTGATGCAAATCCTGAGGGAAAAAAAGAGTTTAGCCCAGATTGGGATGTTGGAGCTCCTACAACATTTTGGTCTCACATCAGAGAGAACGTAATTCATCCCTTTTAACAAAGGATAAATCCAGCTTCAGTCATTCTTGAATTAATCTCTTTGGAATCTGCAGTGCATTTAAGTTTGCTTCTTTATGTTTCTGAACAATAATCCTGGCTTTTATAAACCAACTATTGTTTCGCTCTTTAATACTGGAGATATAAAGAATGTTCAGGTATTGATGACCCTTAGCAAAAAGTATTATATGCAAGTACCCTTTAAGTATACGAATTCTAAACAATAAATAAATAAATAAATAAATAAATAAATAAATAAATAAATAGATAGATAGATAGTATAATCCCAGTTTACTTTTATGTACATATCTGAGATATACTTAACCAAGTTTATCTCACACTACACTTTTCTTGTACTAAAAGTATACTAAAAGTTCAAGTGTATTTAGTCTATACTATAGTGTTTAAACTTTTGGCCAAGATAAACTTTAGCAGTACAATGAAGTACATTTTCACACAGACCTGTTTATTTGTGGTATATTTCAAGATTGAACTAAAAAGTACTTAGAAGATTACTTTCAGTCTACTTCTGAGTATACGTTCATAAACTTATTGTGGGCCAATTTAGTCCTAGAAGTATACTTGTTAGTAAACTGCTAGTATATTTATATCAGTGTACATGGTAAATAAAAATACACTTAGGGAAATACAATTTTATATACTTTAGTATACTTAATGCCATGCATATAAAGTATACTTCTTCTTGTTAAGTTTAGAAACTTAAAAAGACATTATAACAGTATGCTTAAAGTATACTTTTTATAAACTTTAAAAAGTCCCAATTCAGTACGAACAAGTATTAAATCAGTATACTTTGTAGTGCACTACAAGTACAAGGTGTCTAGTATACTTGATGTACTTAAACCTATACTCAAGTATACCGTATTTATTCGTGTATAATACGCTCTCATGTATAGTACAACCCCCCCACCCCGCTATTTTGTGCTTAAAAAGCATAAAAAATTTAATCCTCAAACTACCTCCAATTTCATACAGACATCAAGATTTTTCAGCCTTTGCAGTCTTTATACATATC